TAAAAATACACTCATTTGCCTTAAAAGTCCCAAAAAGCCTTAAAATGCCAGATGATGTCCTAAAACATGCTGCCAAGTGAATATGTTGTGCTTAAAACTCCAAAAAAACATTTCTTACTATGCATATATGTGTATGTATATATATACACACATATATATACACATACATATATATACACACACATATACATATGTAGATAAACTGAACTTTGAAAAAGAAATTGAAAAATGCTCAACACAAGTAGCCTTTTAGATCTTAAGTTACTTTTATTTAAGTTTTTTGAAAGCTAAGAAATCTCTGGCTTAAAATATTTATTTTAACCAGACATCTTGAGTTGTTGTCAATAAAACAACAACAAAAGTATTTATCTTCAATAAAGTGATCAATTTACCTTAAATTGTATGTATAAATTGTATGGTAGGTCCCACTTACATTGTGTAGAAATACTGCATGCCTTCTGGTAAGATTATTTTATTACCTGTAAAGTAGTCAGTAACTTTCTTTGTGAAATTCTGGAAAATGGCAGCAATTAAAGTTCTGTGAATTGAAATTTTGGCAAACAACAAAATATTAAAGACATTTGCAGGCTGAAATGTTGTACAATTTTGTGAACCATGAACAAATATCAATATGTTCAGTGAATCATTTGTAACAGAATTTGTATTCATGTATTAATAATGTTGAGTACTATAAAAAAGCGAGGTCTGTGATAACAGAACATCAGAAAATCTGATTCAGGGTCATGTTTTGGTCTTCAATGTAACTTTGTAACTTTTTAGATTTTAAATGTGAAACAAAAGAAACAGGAATAAGAGACCAACAGCGCTAGACAGTGAAGTAACAGAAGAAAACCCAAAAGAGCAGAAAAAAGAAATCATCGATCAGATGTGAATTCATGTGCAGGTTTTCACAAGTGCTGACAGAACAGATATACACACACCCTGGTGTTTGAGATTCACCATCCAAGCGAATAACTTGAATCACAGAACTACTGCCCCCTACAGTTCAGGTAGGCCAGGCATTGGGAACTGACCAGCAAAAGTCTCCACCTCTGCCCTGATCTCAGCTGCTCTCTGCTGGAACTTCTCCTCCTGGGACAGAGCTTGGACAAACTCCTTCAGAGGAGCCTTGGGATCCAGGCTTCTTTGCACCTCCAAGGTCAACTCGATGCCTGCAAAAGAAGGAGAACAGCCAACTCAGCAAGACTGTGTTGCTCTTTTTGTTTTAGTTAAAAAAAAAGCTTTAGTTTTACCCCTGTGAATGAAGTCAGCTACTTTCCTGAAGTCATGTTGTACCAAACCTCTGGAGGTCAGAGCTGGGGAGCCAAACCTCAGACCACTGGGACGCAAAGCACTTTTGTCCCCTAAAAAAAAAAAAAAAACACTATGTGAGGACTGAACAACAAAGTTTGAATTAGGTAAACTTAAATGAAGAATAAATAACTTTTGATAACATGTACATAAAAATTCAATTTTGTATTTTTTAGCTGATTACAAAGAATATTTGTAAGTAGTCAACACTGCTGCTCCTCTCCATCTCAGACACATGTACACACTCTACCTGGACAGGTGTTCTTATTACAGGCGATGGCACAGGCTTCCAGAACCTTCTCAGCTCGTCCTCCATCGGTTCCCTTGCTGCGCAGGTCCAGCAGGATCAGGTGAGTGTCGGAGCCGCCTGCACAGTCACCAACAGGTGAGCAGTCATTAGATACGGACTAATTCGACTGTGTGTAAAGGTTTAATCAAGGCTACAACAACGATGAGTCTCTTACCGGTGACGATCTTGTAGCCGTGATCAATCAGAGCATTGGACAGAACTTTGCAGTTATCAAGAACCTGCATCTGATAGGCTTTGAATTCTGGAGTCATGGCTTGTTTGAGAGCAACAGCAACACCTGAACAGATGAGAGAACAAAAAGAAAAAAAAAACACTAACTATGACACAACGTCACAGCTGCAGACATGAAACTGAAGATGTAAAATAATGCAGATATTTACCAGCTATGGCATGGTTGTGAGGTCCTCCCTGCAGTCCAGGAAAGACTGCCTGATTGATCAGAGACTCCAGGTTGTACATGGTCTCCTTCCCCTTTGCATCAACGCTCCGGACGCCTGGTAAAAGGAAACAATCATGAGAAATATAAAATATAAAAAATATAAAACAACCACAAAAAAAAAAACAAAGAAAAAAGGTGATTTCACCTAAAAGAAAGAGGAACACTTTGTACCTTTCCTGTAGAAGATCATTCCAGCACGGCAGCCACGCAGTGTCTTGTGGGTTGTGGTGGAAACAATGTCACAGTGTTCAAAAGGTGAGGGTACGACACCGGCAGCCACCAGACCACTGATGTGAGCCATGTCCGCCAACAGGTACGCACCATTCTCCACAGCAATCTGCTTCATGCGAGCGTAGTCAAGGTTACGGGAGTAGCAGCTTGTTCCTTGAGAAGAAAAGAAAGGACAATATTAAATTTAGTGGGTTTTTAGATCGGTGCTGTCAGGCCTTGAAATAATCCTGTGGGAATAAATATTACATTTACATTCATGCATTTAGCGACTTATTTAGCGATTTATGCATTAAGTGACATGTAAAGCCGTTCACAGAGGAGGATTAACATCATCAAGCCTGTGATACCTGTGGGAATCAAACCCAGGACTCTCTGCTTCCAAGTGTGCTAACCGCTACACTATGAAACCACCATTACATCCAATCGTCTGTGGAGTTTTCTGATAAAGTCATTTTCTGAGGTCAGCAGTTTCAGGGCAACATAACAACAAAATAAAATCAAACTTTATAATTCTGCAATAAGGAAAAACTATGAGCGCTATAAACATTGACTTTATAACTTTTGCAGCTTTAATCCACAAGACAATGAACTATAAACTTTTTTACTATAATTTTATTGTAGGTGACATATCCCATGAAAATCAGCTCCAACCAGTTACAAAGTTTACCCCACCTTTTTTAACATCCTCATTCTTTCATGCTCTGCCATTTTCTTGTATCTGCTCTTAACACTCTACTTTTTGAGATCAGATCAGATCTGAAGATAATGCCAGTTACAGCATCATATTCACATTTAAACCGTTAAGACGGTCAAAATGAGAAGAATTTTTTTTTGTCATCAGACGTACCCGCAATGATGAGTTTAGGATGAAACAGTCGTGCATTTTCTTGCAGTCTGTCGTAGTCGATATAACCAGTCTCCGAATTCACCTAAAAATAAATTAAACCAAAAAAAAGTTCCATCAACCAAACAAAAGCATTTTAATCATATTTCTCACAAGGTAATTAACAAAAAGTCTGTTAGACGTAAACTAATTTTTTTTTTTACCTTGTACGGCATGGACTCAAAAAAGATAGACGTTGCTGAAATTTTCTTCTTCTCTGTCATGAAGCCATGTGTCAGGTGACCTCCATCAGGAAGGTCAAGTCCCATGATCCTACCATGGGGCTCAACGAGTGCCGTGTAGACAGCAAAGTTAGCGGGAGAACCTTGAAGTGAGCAGTCGACAACAGTGTGATGCGACGGGTTCTTCGTAGAACACTATTCTCTGGTAGTTTATTAAGGTTATGATACGGTACCTGAGTATGGCTGAACGTTTACACCCCATTTCTCTGGGTCCAGACCGTAGGCCTCCAGTGCTCTCTTCTGACAAAGTCTCTCCAGCTCATCCACATGCTCTGTTCCACCATAATACCTGAAGACAGACTTCTTAATGTGAATATTTTTTAAAAATTATTATTTCTTTTTAATACCTACTTGTGAAATATTAGATATTTTCCTGTACCTCTGTCCAGGATATCCCTCTGAATACTTGTTGTTCATACATGAACCCAGAGCCTCCAGAACAGCTCTGCTGGCAAAGTTCTCAGACGCAATCAGCTCCAGGCCATACGTCTGCCTGTGTTTCTCTTTTTTGATGATTGAGAAAACCTGAAATGCAGACGTGCACAGCATCACTGACGACATTTTCAACATCCCAATAGCCTTAAACACATGGACTACTTGGATTTGAACCAACCCACAAACACACACATATACGTGAAGTATATTTACTGAAAAGACTTAACAGACTGAAGAGGTGCCAACTGTGAACAACTGATGAGACTTAGTTTTTTTTTTTTAATTCAGGCAAAAACATCAGTATAATTTCAGGCTGAAGAAAATGTTTTTTTATCCCACATAACCTTTGACATTATCCACACTGACCTCAGAATCGTTGATGGCCAGAGGTTCAAGCATCATCTTGTTGTGAGACTCCCACGTTTCTTGACTGACGGTGGAACTGTTTGTCGAAGACATTTTTCCTGGACTCTGTCCACTGCAAATTAAGAACTGAAGAAGAAGCGAGAATGTCAATTTTTACTCCCAAGAGATAAGATAAGATAAGTACACAGTTTTAAAGAGCAATGAAATCAGACTTTGACACAGAATTTATGCAAGGGTAGGACAGACTGTAGGTCAACACACCAGAACATTAGTAGGTCAGCATGCATCCAACCCCACCAACACTTCAGAACAAACTACTATTCATTTAAACATATATATTAAAACATTTAAAAAAAGGAACAAATTATTTACAAAACTTGAAAAAAAGAAACCACAAAACCAGAATTATGATCACTTTGGGAACTACTCTGTGGACAGGGACACCACACACACCAAACATTTAACTTTTAAAACTAGGTCAAAACCCATGTTCATATTTGAGATGATCTTGCAGGAAGTATTGAGAAAATGTTCATAGTCATAAAGCAGAAGACTTGCAGTCTTACAAATCCTTACAGAATTTGAGATCCAGATCCATAAGAAAGGTGAAAAGCAGCAGAAAACCAAAATCTTTAGAAAAAAAACATCTAGTATGTAGACTTGTAGCATACGAAAGGTGAAAAGCAGCAGAAAACCAAAATCTTTAGAAAAAAAACATCTAGTATTAGACTTGTAGCATAAGACCTCAAGGGACTCGACTGAAATAAGTGCAAGATAATTTTGATTTTTCCATAAAATCACTTTTTTAAATAGTGTGTTCCCTAAAACAAAACTAGTATGATAAAAAGAGACATTAAAGTTAGTTTGTTTATATCATTAGCACACAAGACATTTAGAAAGAAAATACACATTAGCTCTCATATGATCATTAAAGACCATGGTCACATGACTGTAACAGTGGCGTGACATGGTCTCACCAGTTAAAATTTCACCACGGTGGCCTGTGTCCACATGTTTTCATGGATCAGTATCAGTCTCTTCTGACAGATCTGAGGTCAGCTCAGTCCAGGCCAAGCACATGACTCCAACTGTCCGGTTATATATTAAATAGACATGTAATCTGAGATACTGGTGGACTGCCCCACAAGTCTTCAATAACTTTGATATTGTTTAGCAGCTCTGTGAAATAAAACCACAATATGGGCGTTTTCGAACTACGAAATACACCACGATTAAAGAACCGTGAACATCGCTTGTCTGTTATTTAATGTCACGTCTGGTTGGCGTTGCATCATCGAGTAAAACAGTTACAAAAACAAATAAAGAAACCCAGTTAAAGACAAATATCGGGCAGTGACGTTAAAAGTTCAACTTTAGCGCCCATTTAAACTTTTAAAAGACATTAAAGCGTTTAATTTGGAGTTCAGAAAGCTGAAAACACTCACCACGGAAGAGGATCCTGCAACCAACACAGATTCATCTGAACTGAGACCAGTGAGCACGAGAATAAAGTCCGCCAAACTCTTGACCAATCACAGCGCACTTTGTTCTTCTTTAGTTTTATTCACGGTGTTAAATAGACGTGTCGGTGCACTACTGCCCCCTAGGTATCTGGAGTATAAACTAGCAAACTTAGCCAGTAGCAAAAACATTCCATACCTCTCCTTTCAATACGGAGAGCCGACTAAACTAGAACATGTGTTTCCTTTAGTATATGAAAAACACAATACTTTAGTAAGATTCAGTTTCAATGTAACATTAAAAGGGTGCTTACGTATTTTAACGTATCATAGATAACTGATTACGCCAATTTTTAAATTTGACTGAAATGTAACATATTCTACTTACAGTTTACCAAATCTACAACATTTTAGGTAGAGTAAACTTCACTTCTGTTGAAAGTCATACAGTGCAAAAATGCTGTAAATGTATATTAAATGTACTAAAATTTTTAATAGGTAAGGATTTATTTGAACATAAAACAATGTAAACATTTAAATTTGAGAGAAATTACATCCAGCTATGTGTTTTTTCCTATTACTTTTATTTCAAAATAAACATCTCTAATACTGACTCATGTTCATGTCAATGATTCCAACATGGAGTCTCGCTCCCTGAAGTTAGGAAAGCCAGCTCCAGGGGTAAGACCAACCCATTAGATTGTTTCTCACAAGGAAACAAAGCAAATAAAGAATTAAACACATTCATTTACTGTACTTCTTTCCCCACATTGATCTGAAATATTTCACAAGTCATTTATATACAATGGGAGCTCCTCCAAAGAAAAAGTGGCATAGTTGAGTTAGCAATGTTGACATTGTACAGTGACAAGTTTAAACATTGTTAGTATCATGTATGAGCTTATATATTAGAAGAGCTTCATTCCAAGTGTAAGCAGAGACTGGTGTAAGCTTAAGTGCTGCTGTACTTCCCGGAGAAAACACAGAGGCCACTTTTTAATCTCCAAACACACACACACACACACACACTCACCACAATCCAAAGGCGTCCACCTGACCATTTTCCAGATGGTCATTTGGTTATAGTTATATCTTTAACATATTCTTCATTGCTCTTCTTTTAAAAAATAGTCATTCACTACACCAGTCCATAAACATGTGTTAATGCATCTGCTGTATAATCTGCATCATTTTAGTGACATGGACTTTACTCCTCGAGCTGCTGCTGCTGCTGCTTCTTTTGCTGTGGATAGAAAATAAAGAAACTCAAAATTAGTTCAAAATAAACTTTTGAGTCTTCCTATTTCTCACAACATGTACTTTTACAATTATACTCCGCTGATTCTTTTGGACTCAACGTCAGTACAAGATAATCCTATATTCTTTATCATTAGACAAAAATAGGGCTAGTGTGTCCCTTGAATAATTAATAATAATTAATTTTACAGCAAGGTTAAAAATTCCCTTCTTAAATATTAGTTATAAGTCTGGAGAAAAGAATCTATACGAATTTAATTTGGTCAAAATTGTAAACCTGAGTTTAATAAAAGGAGAGACGTTTTACTTTTGTTGCGTAGTGTAACTTCAGGGTGATTGCTGATGATTAGTGATTCTGATTAACAAGTTACATTGACATCAACACCTTGTCAAAGGTATTGCTTTATCTTACCTTTTTTCTCCTCCTCTTTTTTTTTTGCTGCCTCCTCTCTTTGTTTTCTAATAATGGAAAGGCGAGCAAGGTCAGCTTTGGCCTGGTCCGTCTTCCCTGCCATATGCAACTTCATGTAGTTCTCCTTTGCTTTCTGTTTTTCAAGTTCTTCTCTGTTAAAGGGAGGATGAAATGAATATATCTTTGTATAAAAAAAGTAATAACAGTCTTTATGAAGCTATTATTTAGCTATTTTATGGTTACTTCTGCAGCCTTTGTGTTGTAGCGATTGGTGCAATGTTGTTTTGATAATTCCATTAGGTACATTTTAACATTTAGACAGTTGGATAGAAAGGTCAGTGATTGAAAAATTCAAATGACACAAACCTTTCTCTCCTTGATAATTGCTTTGGCTCATCCAACTCAATCTGTGACACTTTCTTAGACTTTTGCACCGCTCTGTTTGGATTTTCAATTTCTATCAAGCCTTCCACACCTGGTCTCCTCCTCTGAAAATTGTAATGTAGTGGTTAAAAATCCTGTAACTCACAAAGGTTTGTAGGATTTCAATGACATTGTATCATTACCATGGGATTTTCATCATCACTGTCGTCGCATCCAGAGTCTGCCAACTTCTCAGCACCATCGTTCTGAACAGCACCTTCTTCTTCATTGTCTGGGTTCTGCTCTTGCTTTAATAGACACAACAAAAGGTTCAAGTCCAAAGAGAAAACAGAAAAAGCAAGCTTCTTAATGCAATGAAATTCTTTCTTTGCTGTCCACTGATGCCGGTTTTATTTAAAAAAAAGTTGAACAAGAATAAAGGAATGCAATAGGTAAAAAATAAAATAAAATACAATATATACAATAAGAGAAGTAAAAGGTTAAAGGGTGGGTAAAGTAAATAAATTGGGGTTTTTTTGTTTGTTTGTTTTTTGGTGTTAACTGAGATAACTAATTTTTTCCCACACTTACCCTTCTCTTTTCCTTCTCAGCCTTCATCTGAGCATCTATCTCCTCTGGGCTGGTGTATGTCCGCATGCGACCCTTGTGGCCACCCTTCTTACCTGCAGATAGGTCATGATCAGAAAAAAATATATAACAATTAAATGACGACATTTAAACACTTTAAAAACAAAGGATATGCGATGTTATCGATGATTTATTAGCAAACCCAAGTGTCTGAACAATGTTATGTACTAAGTCTACTAGATAACACGGCGACTGACAGCAGGCTTATACAGTAAATGTTCAGTATAAAAACTTATTTTAGCGGACAGGGACGGATTATAAAGCTCTCTCTTACCTCCCCTTGGCATCCTTGTAAATGAAGCTTTTGTTATAACCTAATTAACATGTGAAAACTGGCAAAAAACATAAATATTGGAGCGACAGTAGAAACTGACAGCTGGCTTCCCTGGCTGTAGCGACGTGTGGTGCTGTCCAAAACTTTGCCTGCCTGAAAACCTTTAAAATATTTGTCGTTCGTACGCGCGTGTTCACATCTCCCTGCTGTACCCACATAAGAATGCCTTTTTCATATTAATACATGTTTAATTAACACGATGCCGTTTTAAAATAAAAAATGAACAAAAAACGCTATTTACTTTCAGGCAAATAGCTGAATCACAAAGTGATGCAACATACCGAGAATGGCAGCGTAAACATCCGATCTAGTTTCATTTCACTGGACACACTCTTACCCACGTAAATTTAAAAAAAAACTAAAGTTGTTACCTTGCAGGAAGAAAGCAAGTCAAACTTAGATGAAACAGGCAGCATGTGTTGACTTTTCGTGTTTATTTTATGTTGTTAACTGTTAATTTGTCTCAAAGTATAAAAAACAAATATCTTAAAATGGTTATTCTAAGATGTCTGCAGGGCAGAGTTTAACGTTTATTCTTAGATTAACACATTTTCTGTACGTTCTCCAAGTTATTTAAAGAACTAACTTTTAAACGACGTTTCGCTGTGTGACGCCGTACGCGCGCCTATAGTGTATAATGGACACGCTCCCCAGTGACGTAATACTATAGCGACAAAGACTTGATTCGCGCAGTCGAAACAAAACAGGGCCTTTTACTCTTTATAAAGAATTTTGTCGAGATGCCTAAAGTTAAAAGAAGTCGGAAGCCTCCTCCTGATGGCTGGGAGCTCATTGAACCCACGTTGGATGAATTGGATCAGAAAATGAGAGAAGGTAAGCCGGAAGAAATGTCGACAGAGGTTAGCTTTCGGGCTAAAACAACAGCGAGTATTTATTGAAAGAGCTACGTTTGGTGTGGTACTGTGCTTCTTCCTAATTATGCAGAGTTTTCTAGAAACCGCTGGGACATGTTTTTGGGTCGTTCGGTACATTTTAATGACTTAATACGTCACTTATATCCACTGTTACAAACAATGTTGGTTTAAAGGCTGTAGCAGCGTCGCCTGTCATCCAAATCATTAGACACAAATACGTAGCTCGCAGATCTACTAAACTTGCATGTGTTTTTTTCCAGCTGAAACAGAGCCACACGAAGGAAAGCGTAAAGTGGAGTCTCTTTGGCCTATATTCAGACTGCACCATCAGCGGAGTCGATACATCTTTGACCTCTTCTACAAAAGAAAAGCCATTAGTAGAGGTTTGGTTACTTTCCTATGTACTTATGCACACATACGCAATATCAATAATGTGGTGTCAGTGGGATTTAAGGAACGCATGCAACAGTTCCAGTTGGGAACTGTTTCAGTTTTTGTTAGTTTACCTATATTAAGATATTGTGATGCTTTGTGGTATTTAAACCAGTATCTTTCCTTCTCTGCTTGTGTGTGGCTTATGACAGAGCTGTATGAGTACTGTATAAAGGAAGGCTATGCAGACAAGAACCTGATCGCCAAGTGGAAGAAACAGGGATACGAGAACTTGTGCTGCTTGCGCTGTATCCAAACAAGAGATACCAACTTTGGAACCAACTGCATTTGCAGAGTCCCCAAAAGCAAACTGGAAGTTGTAAGTTTGGCATTACATTGTTATTAAGACATGTTAAATAGCCTTGTCTTCACTGGATTAAAAAAAAAATAATAATAATTTTATTCACTTTCTCTACAGGGACGGATCATTGAATGCACCCACTGTGGATGCAGGGGCTGTTCAGGCTGAGTTCAGTTTTGGACATCTGTCTATTTTGTGTTCGACATCTGGTCTCATCCTGCCTCTTGTAAGCCTGGAGCTGCATTTTTACTTTGCCCACATTAAAATAATTACTCACATCCTCAGAACCATCATCAGTTTTACTGTGTATGGGTTAGAATTCAGTGCTTGTTTGCTCCTTTTGTGGAGCACTGTAGAATGAAATTACAGGGTCCATTTTGTCCAAGAATGTTTTCGTTCAAGTTTTTTTCCCATACCTTTCAACACTGTTCTTACAACCCACAACATTAAACTCTGTGGATCATTCCAACAAGTCATACCCACTGTCATTGCAAATAACTTTTCATTTAATTTTAAGAAGGTTGTAAGGCAAACACTTTGTCTTAATGTCATTGTTTTAAACATTTTTCTTCATTGTTATTATAGGCTAATTTTAAATAAGACAATTTTGATTTATCTTGTTTCATGTTTTTGCAAAACTACATAATTTGTTCAGATTTAAAGTCAAACAGTTTTCTAATAAAGTGTATAAAACACCATTGTTGCTGATCAACTCTTCACTTTTTCAAACTTGCATACTTAAGCCACATCTACACAGTAAATCAACAAGCCTGTATGGAAACTGCTGGTGAACGTCTCTCAACAGCGCACACTACACAACATCTGCAGCATGTTTCCCAGACTCACAGCAGCCAAATTGCTTCTATCTGTCTATAAACGGTTAATTTGCTTCTACTTTCTCTTCACACCAACACTTATCCTTCTGCTGCAGCAGCAGGTCCATTAGATGTGTTCACAGTCATAGCATTCATTATTCATGACACCTCTAATGTTTGCACATACGTCAGTGTTGAAGAAAGTCACACAGACAGGAGACGCATGAGCATCTGATGTTTAATGGTTATCTGTTTCCTTCAGCGTCCCACAGTGAGATTCAGCAACAATCAACACAATCAACTGCCTCATGTGTTAACCACTTATGGAAACAAATATAAAAATCAAGTTACATAATTTAATTTTGAGGTTAGGTTTATCTTAACAGTACATTACAGCATCAAGACATTTACAACGTGCTTTATTTTTAAAAAAAGAATGGCAAAAGCACAACAACACGGGCAAGGTAAAGACTGCCCATCATGATGATGCAAAAATGAGATCTGATATGGCAACGTGCACACTGAAACATATGTTAAGCACTCGGTGATATGGCTTCTTCAGGTTACATTCACCTTTTTGCGACTACATGTGCAATAGCTTTAAATGTAACAGAAATTGTGTTATGTTGGCATTAAAAAATAAAAAAATTCAAATAATACATAAGGTGGAATGTTAAAATAGTGAAGTGACAGTTAGTCAAAAGTATATGCCTTCATGTTTTGTTCATAGCAAGATAGTGCTAGCAAAATAATCAGCAATGATCCTACAATGATTGATCTCTCACATTAAAAATCCAACCATGCAGACACGGCACAGTTACTGACCTAAACACACATTTGGAGCGTTGTCCCTGATGCCACAGAATTAGGAACAGCAAAAACAACTATCACAGACACTTCTGTTGTAAATTCAATAGCTGCATACAGGTTGACCTACTTTTCCTTTATTCATCAGAAAAAATCTACGTTTTTCTCACAGACGATCATTTCCTAAAATTCCTTTGAGAAGCATTCTTCATAAAATAACTAATTTCATTAAAAGCACATTTTTAGCAAAGGCTCAGAAGGTTGATAAAATCTCAGAAGTCTGTGGCACATAAATTAATAAAATCTACAAACGACAACATCCTCATGTTTCCCATCAAACTATTCAGCACCACATTAGTTCTTTTAAATACAGCAAAATATCTTCGATACACCGATTCACTCCGGCACAAGACAATCATGCTGACACCACAACAATCACACAACTTTAAGACAACAGTGACATGAAATACACTTCTGTTAAGTAGCTTCAAAATGTACCTGATGATGTCAGTTAATCATGAAAATGTCTGCCAGCAGTGAATTTTCACACTTCATGGTGCTGCCAGCCGTACATGGGTGAGTATACTGTGGGATATACTGTATGTTACATTATTTCTCAGGACATGCAACATCAGGTGGGAGCCAACTGGGTCTAATTCACAGCCAACACACTTCTACATGCATCACAACATAAAAGAAACCTCTGGTGACGTTTCCTCCATGCCTTCAAGTCACTTCTGGTTCATACAAATTCCAACAACATGGGTGTCTTTTCTTATCAACCCATAATTCAACAACTACTGAGGAATATGTGTAAAACCTAGAGGTGTGGTTTCAGAAAACAAAAATGGCCTCTAAAGGTAAAATGGACGCAGGAAGAGAATCATGTCACAAACCAGCTGTAACAAGGCTCCATGTTGCTAAAGAAATGATGGATTAAACCGCGGTCAGGACGCGTTACAAACATTTCAAAAGTCATGGTGACAAGGATTTGAGACTATATTCAAGCAGACAAAATGATTGGTAGTTGGTGGGCATTGGCACAAAGCTCCTGTCAGCTTGGCTTGGCTCAGACCAGCACCAACACACACGCACGCACGCGCACGCACACACACACACACACACACACACACACTGCCACCTCAAATAGGTCAGTGCAAGTAACAAAGAAGAGGAAAAAAACACACACACAAATAGCCAGAAGTTCATCTGCTCATATTTTTGAATGTCAACTTGACCTGAACCAAAATAAACCAGTGCTCTAATTCTCAGTTCACACCCTCTCTCCAGCAGGTGGAAGAAAGAGTAAGAGCAATAAAAAGACACTAATGAAAAATATAAGAATATTCAGTGCAGATTTAAAAAACAAAACTAGAAGTACTTCAGACCTTAATATGATTGATCCACTCAAACCCAAGGGTAAAAGATAAGTTCTGCTCAAATATCAGAATAAGATCAGATTTTATATAAAACGCTGGTGGTGTAGTTAAAACTAAAACAAGGTGCTGCTGCTGCACTGCCCCCTGTGGAAGGCTGTAGGTACTGCTGAGTGATGAGCTGGCTGAGGTAGAGCAGTATCTGACTGTCCTCCTCACTCAGACCCAGCTGCTCCTGCAAAAAGCAACGCCGTCGGCCCTCCACGACTTCGGGCCCCTCGGCAGAGCTGAGCGGCAGGTGGAAATGATGTGTAAAAGTAAAAAGGAAGGCCTTGGCAGCCAGGCGACAGAAAGTGCTCTGTAGATGAAGGAAGTAGGTGGAGCCGCGGCGGATGTAGGTGCGGTGATCAGCTATGTTGGCGAGCAGCTGGCCACGATATGGAGGGCAGCGCAAGGTCTTTTGGTCAGCGTCGAGAATGGAGATGTACCGACTATAGCGAGACAGCGAATAAAGCATACTAGAACCAGCAGGGGACGCCACTCTGTGTAAGGCAAAAAGACAGGTTAAATTAGTTAAGATTAAGAAAACAGCAACAGTAAACATCAAAATAATGATGGAGAAGGATCATATATCATACATATATACATGAATGCAGTAGAAAATCATAAAGCTGTCAGTGGACTACAGAAGTTGTTTATGTGAGTCATCAAGGACTGAGTCAGAGCAGATGAGTAACCGCAGTGAGGAGTAGTAATTCAATGACATCTTTTTTATTCATATGCACTGATACTGCCTGAAACACAAGATCTTAGTAAATCATTGTCGACGACATTGTTGGTTTGCATTTTCTTACCGTGAGCGTTTAATTTGAGTTTGGTCTAAAGTGGGCTGCAGGCATGGAACAGTCACCAGTTCTAAGCAATAATGTGGTTTGGAAAGTGACAGCTCCTGCAGAATGAGCTTCTTCTATGACTCATCAGAGACAATGATATTTTGAGAAGTGGACTCATCTGACCACAGAATGTTTCCATTGTCTTTGGGTTCATCTCACATGAGCTCATGCACAAAGAATTTCACAGTTTTATGTACAAATTGAAAAATAGTTCTGTTTTTGCATTGCACTGAATTTTGCGTCATCAGTGTAGTTCTGTAAACAAACCGAACGTTTAATATTTTGTAAGTCATCAACAAGTTTAAATAGTAATATCACTGACAGCATAATCAAGTCTTCAGAAACAAAATGCACAAATAAATAATCAGTTAATAAAATATAACAGAATCATTCTCATTTTTTAAACACTTAAAAACACCTCTCCAACCCATTAATTGATAACCAATCATCTAACAACACAGATCATGACTCACCGTTGCAATCCGATGAGTTTCCACTGCTGCAGGTCAGTGAGGGCGAACGGGAAGGACAGCCAGGCTTGAACCCTCTTTCCATACTTTCCAGGACAAGGAACAAAGAGAGCCAGAGCAGCAACTAAACGGCGAACCCGCCCCTCATCTGCGCCCAGAACAACCAGGGTTCTGCCGCTCAAAATGCACCATAGCGCAGGTATGGCAAAGGGGTACTGTCGCACAAACCTCAGAGCTCCTTGTCCAGCCTTCTTTCTGTGATGGAGGGTTACGACCCCCCCATAACCAAGAGGTGAAGCTGCACGGTCAGATCCTGTAGAAGCACTCATGGTGCAGTCTGACCCGTCGTCTAGTGAGGCACGAGAAACTGTATCTCCCAGGTGTCCAGTGGACAGCTCCTGTCTGGCTGCAGGGCTCTCTGAGCACACAGAGCCCACAAAGTAATCGTCCTGGAGAGGAAGAAGTGAGTGGGGCTCCTGGTTGACCACTGAGGCCTGAGAGGTCTGACTGCAGGAGTTTGGCCTCAAATGAGAGTTTGGTTCTGGTGGCGATGCCTCATAAAGGAAACCCTCTTGAGCCATGCAGCATGATGTGTCAATTGGTACCAACAAGTCAGACTCTCTTTCATACTCCTTGCTGCTGACCTTCTCACCGTCATCGTCCTTGCCGACGTCCAGCTCAGACACCACCTCCAGCAGAGACACAGGTGTCTGGTCTCCCTCATCCTCCCCCGCAGTGGTTTCCATATCCTCACTGCTGCTCTCCCTCTCTAGGTCAGTGTTATGGTCAGCGTCTGGGGTCAGGTCAGAGTCAGGATCAGGAGGCTCAGACCTCACACTAGCGACACTTGGCTGTTTCTCTAGCAGACATTTCCCACTCTTATCACTGCTGAAGCTTCCTTTGGTCTCCTCTGAGCTCTCCTGGGTCTCCAGAGTCTGTTCTGAAGCAGAGGAGTCCATAAGACTCTCTTCAAACCCAAGCTCACTCTCTCGTGTATGGCTGGTCTCAGAAGCTGGGTCTAAAGGATCTGCAGGATCTAGGCAATCCAGCTCCAGGGGTAATGGTTCTAGTACGATGGGTGGTGGATTAACGAGTCTATAGTCTTCAGCAGCATGGTTCACAGCACAAAATGGTCTTAGAACTCCTTTCTCATCATCAGCGTCATCACCGAGGTCCTCCTCAAACAGGAAGTTGGTAACTCTCTGTCTTCTACGTAGGGCTTTGTCCAGACGGCGTGTGTGAAGGTAACACAGATCCCCCCGGAAACTCCTCTCGGTCTCCTTCAGGAGCTCCATGGTGGCCTCGTAGAAAGTCTCATCACACAACTCCTGGAGGGTCTTGAGGCGCTTGTCAAAACACTTGGCGGACTTAGCTTTGATCAGCTGGGGTATATAAGACGGCTTGCGTTTAATGCCATCACCTTCATCCTCCTCCACTTGTTCTTCATCACCCGTGTGAACCTCTCCATCCACCTGTTTCCTGTCTTTGTCAGTGTGACTTGACGGTTTGTTGTCCAACAGCTGCTCACACTCATTCAAGGCCTCAGTCACACACCTCTGACAGGTAACAGCATGAGGGTCTCTTCGTGGGCGGCCATGATATGAACTAATCTGTCTCAGCAGGTCTCTGTGTTCGAAGATGCTTTTCACCACATTGGCGAGCTCGTTGGCTTTTTCTACAGCATGAGTTGAGTACATGGACTGAGGCCCCGCCTCCCTGTGCAGGCCTTCTTCTCTCTGCAACACGGAGTGAGTATACCTGGGAAAAAGACCACAATATAATGCTACATAAGAGTCACAGAAAATTGGGGCAGGAGTTCACACGGCAGTCATTATGAAGAGTAATAACAATGGTAATTAGTGTGTGCAGTAAATAATTAATACATTTTCTCACTTAACTTAGTTAAATAAATAATGTAAATTTGGAAATGAGAAAAAAGCATGCTCTCTGCGCTAAGTTAGTTTTATGTTTTTTTATGACGCAAAGAAGTGAATTAAATCTTCACAAACTCAGAGGCAAGTTTTTTCTACTGGTTAAACCGGTTTGGCTGTTTGTTTTTTTCAACAGAATTACGTTTACAGCGCCAGTCAAAAAAGAAGATTTGATTTGAACACTAAATTAGTTTGTTAACATATGAAAGTTTGCAGGTCTTACTCCAGGTCCTGAAGTTTCCTCTGAAGTTCTTTGGCAAAAGCTCTTCTGTTCCCAGCCTTCAGACACTCTGACGCCTGTGAGAAGCGGAGGGACAGCTCCTGAAACTGCAGCATGATTTTCCTCTCATCTGCTGAAATATAGGCCATACAGAACGGGCGAACGAAGCCTCTTGCCTCCAGATCGTAAAGTGTTAAGTGATGAACGTAAGCAAAAGCTCCCTCCTTGGAGTCACCCAGTACCACCCTGGAGTCCTCCACAAAGCTGAGTCGTGGGTAACCACTTCCCGGGGGATGCCCAACAAAGGAGGCCTGGTAGTCCACGGACATGAGGCGCAGGGAGAAGTAGTTGAGATCGAAAGTGCCGCACACTTTGGGGTCATCTGGGATGGTGAGGAGCGGTTGAGGGCCCACCTGCTCTGAGAACTCAGAGATGAGGATGAAGTCTTTGCTGAATTTGGCATAGGAAGTTTTGGCCCAGGGGTTGGAGTCAGCCAGAGGATTGAGGGGTATGGAGAACTCCTCTGGTAGACTCCAGGGCTCTGGACTTGTTTGTCCAAACTCATCCTCTTTGGTGAAAGCCACCACGTCAGGCGATCCAATCATAGTGGTGTGGTCGAGAAAGGCATGAGAAACAGGACACACAGTGTTGCGCCGCTTACAGTCAAAAACAAGCTGTCAAGTGCAGCTACATTCAGTACTCGCACAAAGCTTTCACATTGTCCACACAGCAGTTTAGTTCGTGAGATGAATACATTTTGTTCTAAAAGCACAGAAATAAAAATGGTCCATTTAAAAAATTCTTGACATAAAGAAGAGCTCCAGTGTAATCGAGACTGCAAGCAAATATGTCAATGTCTCTCTGTTAACAAAAGCAATTACCTAGCGCCAATCACGGGCTCGGGGCAGGCATAAAACCTTCCTTGCTGTGCACAGGCAAACACGAACAGCAGCATCAGTGAAACGATTTTCTTCCGCACAATTTTGTGCTTCTATGCGTCGACTCCATCACGTCCAGATTAAACATTTTAAATGCGCCGAGGGGTACCCAAAACCCGTGTGCACTAAGGCACTACATGTAATTTTCACATCCCGACACAGACGCCATGTTTACCCAGCTGGTGACAGTCAGGTCATGTGATCCTACCTCCCCAATATGAGGAGTTCTTCCTTAAACTAAAAGTCCACTTTTTGTTTCCGTCGTTATTTTTGTGATTGTGTCAAACAATGCGAAGCGGTTAAACAAAAATAATAATAACAATAATAATAATAATAATAATACAATTTTATGTGCATAATGAATATCTGACTACGCCACGACCTAATATTCAATTCTATTTAAAAGATATTTTCTTAAATATTATTTTATTTTAACAGCTAACGTTAAAAGATATTTTCTTAAATATTATTTATTAACAGCTTATTAACAGCTAACAATTTTCTGAAACAGCATTATAGATAAAAACGAACCATACAATGAGTAAAAAAAGTCGCATTCCGGTCTAAGCAGTTTTGTTTTAATTGTTACTATGCATTCAATCAATATTAATTTCGTAATATACAATTTCGAAGCAGATACATTTCCATGTGCTCACTAACGACAAAAAAAAAATGCAAGAAATTGTTTTTATTAGTGCATTAGTGTTTGTTATTTTGGTTGCCGTATTACAGCACTTTACGACACTTTGCGACCTTGAATACGATAGTGTTTGACAAGTGGGCGCGCTTGTAAACAGTCGTAGTTATTATCCTAAAGGTTATCGGTGTTTTTATTTTGTGGTTTATTGTAAAGTAACTCTGTCGGAAGTTTTATCCAGAATGCAGCAACGAAGTTCGTTAATATTTTTTTGCTTTTTACAATAGTTTCAAGCAGCCGAACCGTTGGTTTAGACTGGTTCCCTCAGCTAACATGCTAACAGCAGCAGCAGGGCAGACCAAAAGTCCAGATGATTTATACGGGAGTATTTCGGCATGGTCATAGTGCAATTTTTTAGAAGGTCCTTGCTTCGAACTGGAAAACTATTTGTCGGAGTCCAGCGAATGCTTCTTTGTTCAGTGGAGAACACCGGGTGTCTGAACCTACAACAGCAGACTGACATGATCCGTAACCGCGCACAGATCAGACGTGTTCTCTGCGTAGCGGAGAAAAATGATGCTGCCAAAAACATCGCCGAAATAATGTCCAGTGGTAGAGCAAGGAGGGTAAGTCTGTATGTTTCTGCAGTAACAAAATCATTTACTATTTCTGGCGATTTCGGCAAGTTTCTGTAGACCTTTCAGTTCACAATGTGTTCAGCTAAAGAGACACTTGGTCTCCTTGTGATTTAAACACTTAACGGCAGCCCATCAGAATATGTACAAACGAATAAGCAAAAGTAAAAGAATATGAAAAATAATCCTATTTAATAACAATCGCTTTAAACATTATTGAGCTAGTCAATGCACTTGTCAGAAACAGACACACAAAAACACCCCTTGTTACTATGTTCTTTATATTTTTGCGTCAATGCACTTGTCAGAAACAGACACAAAAAACCCTTGTTACTATGTTCTTTATATATTTAAAAACAAAGCAAAATTGATTTCACTGTTTTTCTTTTTTCTCTGGTAACAAGCAATGAATAGATTTAATTATTAATAATAAATTAAACCAAAGTGTTTAATGGATGATAAATGCTGATAATGTAAAAAAAATAAATAAACACTGTTGAAGTATATGACACATCCATCCTTTTTTAAGTTACTCTTAATCATCCTCCTGATTATGTTGATTTCTGTTTTAGAGGGAAGGAAAGTCCAAATTTAACAAAATCTACGAGTATGAATACCATCTCTTTGGTCAGGTATGTGAAACCAGACTCATTTTATTAAGGATGCAATCGTGAATCTAAATATTTGTTAATGATAGTTGTTCTATCTACGCCTTTCTTTTCTAGGAGGTCTCAGTATCTATGACATCTGTGTCAGGTCACTTACTGTGTCAGGATTTTAAATTAGTCTATCGGAAATGGTAATGTTGACTGCCTTTATTTTCTCTATTCATACAGTTACTGTTACAGCTAATCATTATTTATTTATTTATTATTATTATTATGACAGGAATAGTTGTAATCCTGAGATCCTATTTGATGCTGAAGTGGAGAAGTACTGTCCAGACAACATGAAACAAATCAAGGTACAATTATTAAACTTTTTTATATGTTTGTAGATTGACTTTTTATACTGTACTTTTTAAATTATAAACTTTTGAGAATCTTAATGTTTCATTTCACTCTATCAAATTCTCTTTTTGTGCCCCATCTTCCCCCCATCTCTGTCATCTCTGTAGCTGACACTGGAGAAGGAGGTGCGTCAGTGTCAGGCTTTAATTATCTGGACTGATTGTGACAGAGAAGGAGAAAACATTGGCTTTGAAATCATCAATGTCTGCAAAGCAGGTACTATTGGAGTATTTTTAAACTTGTAAATTTACTGTGTGGGAGTTTTTCTTTTAATTTGTCAACATCTACCTCCTGTTTGTAACGCTGTGTCTGCATTCCTTTTAGTGAAGCCCAATCTGCACGTTTTCCGTGCCAAGTTTTCTGAAATAACCCAAACTTCTATACGAAGAGCCTGTGAAAATCTAACAGAGCCGGACATAAACGTCAGTGATGCTGTCGATGTGCGGCAGGAGCTGGACTTACGCATAGGTGAGGTAGCACCGAACAAACCTGAGCAAAATGAAGAGCACGTGTTTGACAGATCTGTGTTTTCAGTGTAAAGTTTAAACAGTTTAAGTTGAATGTTACTTACAGATCTCAACCTTTCTTCTGTATCATCTTCCTCAGGTGCGTCGTTCACTCGATTTCAGACACTGCGTCTGTGCAAGATCTTTCCAGAGGCTCTGGCCAATCAGCTGATCTCATACGGCAGCTGTCAGTTTCCTACTCTGGGGTTTGTGGTTGAGCGTTTCAAAGCCATCCAGGCTTTCATTCCTGAGACTTTCTACAAGATTAAAGGTAGAAATGTGAAGATGATCAATGCACAGACATTTCCATCGTTCAGATAAAGATTTTCAAATTTTGAGGAGTTTTTTTTTTCTCACGTTAGTGCTGCATGACTTTCAAGAGGAAAAAGTAGAGTTCAACTGGAAAAGAAACCGTCTCTTCAACCACACAGCATGCCTCGTGCTGTACCAGATCTGTATGGAGGTGCGTGATCCTTTCTATTAAAGTAATAATTGTTTTTTCATACAACATACATTCTCAGAGGCTGTAGAACTCACGTTTCAACTTTTTAGCCTGGATGATACCAGCAAAATGGCCTGCAACTGTGATGGTGCGGGGGTGCACCAGCAGCCATGTTGATGTGGAGGCTTACATGAGAAAAGAATCAGTAAAAGTTCAAATGGCCAGAAAAATATCGGAGTAAAACTTTTGGACAAACTTCTGCAGTTGCATAACTACCACTAAATGTATTCAAAGTGAAATAACAGAGTCAAAGCAACACATGTGTGGGCTTGAGAGTTGACAGCACTGCTGCATTTGTACTGATCTCAAATATTCAGATATTGAATGTCATTCAAAATCACTTATTGTTCATGTTGCAGCCCCTCCATTTGGATGTAACTGTCTGTGTCTTGTTAGTTTGTGTAGATTTGTGTTGTGTGATTGAAGATGATCTGCAGGTGTGTTACGCCTCCTCTTTCTGCAGAATACCGCAGTACATTTAAATTCAAATGTGTTTTCAACTTGCCTGACTAATATGGGCTAAAAGCCACATACAAAAAGCTACACACAAGAAGAAGAATAAAAAAAAAATCATTTTACTCATTCCCAGGATCCCATGGCAACAGTCACCTCAGTAACCAGCAAACCTAAGAGCAAGTGGAGACCGCTGCCTTTGGACACTGTGGTAAGAACGTAAAGTCAGACCATGCACATGCATTAAATATTTTGTAGTTCATCAACCTCATGTCCCACGTACCTGATAGCTCCCTATGTTTAGTCCAGTCTTCTACATCCGTCTGTCCAACAGGAACTGGAGAAACTGGCTTCTCGGAAGCTGAGAATAACTGCAAAGGAGACAATGAAAGTTGCAGAAAAACTCTACACACAGGGGTGAGTTTTAACAAGCTGTATTCAAATACAAACACACGTATGTATGTATATATATTTTTAATGAAAAATTAAATTGGACAAAACTTTGCCTGCAAATCAGCAGTAACATTTAACGTTTTAAACATTTTAATGTCTAATAACAAATCATCAATTTTTACATTTTTATTCATATTAAAATTCCATTCATTCAATTCATGCCCTGCTGTTCAAACTGTACTGTCCATCCATCCATCCATTTTCATCCGCTTATCCGTTACCGGGTCGCGGGGGCAGCAGTCGCCACCCAAATCACATTGCACCGTACCAAACCTTCCTGCGGGTGGTGAGTCCACTGGAAGGTACCAACCGCCCTAACCGGGATTCGAACTTGCCCAGGAGGTGAACCCTGGGGTTCCACACCAATGACAGAGACATTGCCTCTGGGCCAAAGCACCACCAAACTGTACTGTCCATAGTGTAAATAAATCTCTGTCCAAATGGTCAATATTGTCCTGCGCCAGCCATATGTTGAGCCACCTGTTGATGACAGTTAAGCATTCAAACATATTTCTTTCACTTATCACTTTGCCTCCAAGTGGTTTTATACATGAGCACCATGTAGCCGTTCAGATGTTAAGTTTGTTATGACCCCCACCCGCCCCCCTCTCTCTCTCCTGCTTTTCCAGCCTCATCAGCTACCCTCGCACAGAGACAAACATTTTTCCTGCAAACCTGCCTTTGAGCCCTCTGGTGGAGCAGCAGACTCAGAGTCCAGTCTGGGGAACATTTGCCCAACGGGTACTAGAACAGCCCGGGGGTCCGAACCCACGCCAGGGCAAAAAATCTGATCAAGCCCATCCTCCCATTCACCCCATTAAGTACAGCAGCAACCTGCAGGTAGAGTGATCAGGGCTCAACTTCGTTCACTAAGGTCTGTTAAAACATCAATCTAAAAAAATGGACTACATTTCAGAAGTTTCCTCTCCTTCCTGTGTTCAGGGCAACGAAGGACGCCTATACGAATTCATTGTCCGTCACTTCCTCGCCTGCGTATCCCAGGATGCCTTGGGGCAGGAGACGATGGTTGACATAGACATAGCCCAGGAAAAGTTCTCCACCGCAGGACTCATGATCATAGCAAGGAACTATCTGGATGTTTACCCCTATGACAGATGGAGTGCCAAGGTGTGTGTGTGTGTGTGTGCAGTTGTGCATTTCACAGTGAAGCAGAATCTTTACTGTGAAAGATTTGGAGAAACAGCTCTGCCTACACCACAGTGGTGCATAAAACAACAAAGTGGGAGGTGAAAAAAAATCAGATCATGTGAGAGAGTGTTTGACATCCTCTTTGGAGGAAAAGGCATTAAACAGTAGGTGTCTGGCATCTGTAAACACTGTAGTCTCAGTCATTATTAAGTCATTAATACTTACTGAACAGTGTGCAGGAAATTAAAATATTTAAAAAATATTAATAATGCTGTTGAAACAGAACATCTCAACATCTCCTCCATGCTGTAGGTCATTCCTGTGTATGAACAAGGATTTCAGTTCCAGCCGACGTCCATAGAAATGTTAGACGGTCAAACCAGTCCTCCAGAGCTGCTCACTGAAGCTGACCTCATAGCACTGATGGAGAAACACGGCATTGGTAAAACACACACACATAGAAACAGATCATGAACTGTTTTCACTTTTACCTGACATTACAGGATGAATCTTTCGTGTGTATTTCAGGCACAGATGCGACTCATGCCGAGCACATTGAGACCATAAAGAGTCGCATGTATGTGGGTTTGACACGGGACCAGAGGTTTCTCCCAGGGGAGCTGGGCATGGGGCTGGTGGAGGGTACGTTACCCAAAAACACTGACAGACGAACACGTCATTCAAACATGAGAATCTGAGTGAAATAGTTTTGGTTTGTTTAGGTTACAACTCCATGGGCTATGAAATGTCCAAACCTGACCTTCGTGCTGAACTGGAGGGCGATCTGAAGCTGGTGTCAGAAGGCAGGAAGGACAAACAGAGCGTGCTCCTGCACCACATCCGAAAGTACAAAACCGTCTTCATCGAGTCTGTCAGGAAAGCAAAGAAGTCAGTGGAAAACATCTGTGTGACACGATCTGATCGCAGCACGAAGGCAGTGGTAACGTTTTCACTACTGAGAACTTTATCTGTTGTTAAGGTTGGATGAAGCTCTGTCCTCGTACCTGGGTGAAGCACAGGAAGTCACTGAACAACAGTATGAGGTGATGGAGATCCCACTGCCGGTCAGGAAGTGTCCCCAATGTGGAGAAGACATGGTGCTGAAGACGAGGAGGGACGGAAACGGGTGAGAGAAGACGGGTCACTGATGTAGATGAATTAGGACGTTTTTAAAGAATCAAACTGCGACAGGTTTGTTCATAAGTTTGGTCCTGGTTCTACCGTCCGTGACTGGTCCGTGACCTGCACCAAGATCTGGCTTTTATGTCAGGGTCTGGTTAGACGTAACAAGATAAATCAAGTCTCAGAGACAGTTGGTCATTTGTCGTGTTATAGATGGCAGCAGCAGACTACAGTGACTTTCTGTTTTTGTTTTTTTTTCTCTGACTCCCCCCTCTTCATTGTTCTCTCCCCCCCCCACAGTAAGTACCTGTCCTGTGTGGGTTTCCCAGCCTGTAAAACTGCAGTTTGGTTCCCATCCACGGTCCAGGAGGTGAGCAGAGATGAAAGCGTCTGTCCCACCTGTCGGCCGCACCCTGTTCACATGTAAGTTAAAATATAGGGTTAACAGGTGAATTTATTTAACATGATGTCAAATTTGTGTCTATGATTACAGTAATAATTTTGAATATTTATTTTAAAGCAATTTAATGAAGAAAAAAACTTATTTAGAGCCCCTGTCTTTTGATCAAAACAATCATAGAAAAACACATCGCAAAAATCGAAAAAAAAAACATAGAAAAACACATCGCAAAAATTAGACATTCGCATCAACGGAGAAAACAGTCCATACGAGGTCCATATTTCTAGGTTTATGGGGTTCGTATCATATAGTGTGAATTCTAAAGTGGAGAATTCCACTCTGAAAATGAATATACTTGTTAATGACTTTAGAAGTTGATTAGTGACTAATTGTTTGGACTAATCAGTGCAGCCAGAACTTTTCCAAATTTATTTCCTGAGGACAAAGACTCTTTCATTTTAATTGGTAATTACTCTTCAATGTGTTAGAAATATTTGGAATTCCCTGCAGCCTCCCGTGCTGAGCCGAGGAGCCGACACGCTGTTTACTCTCAGCTTCTAACTCTCCACCACAGATGACGTGACTTCGTCAGCAACAGAAACTTGTCAAAAGTCCTGCTTACACCAGTAGGCGTTAACCCCACGAGCACGTGCCTCAGCTCAGTCCAAATATAGGCCGAGCTCGCCATAGCAGCATCCGTTACCATGGCTACCAAACTAGTGCAGAGCTCAAAGTTGAACTGCAGCATCAACTCTCCAACACAACTTCCCCTTTAACAATCACTGCACTGATAAACTGCTGCGTAATTTTAAATGGCTGCAACCTCTTTATCTGCTAATTAGTTTTGTATTTAATTGATATTTTTTTCCAACATATTAAACCAATAATCAGGGTTGTCAATTACATTTGAAAAGACATTTGTCACATGATCACTACGAATGAATCGTGATTAAAAACATGATTAATCGAGGCAAGTTGTCATTCTTAAATAAGATATTAAAAACATGATTAATCGAGGCAAGTAACAAATAACAAATAAATAACATTTAGCATTTCATACGTTCTTCAGGTTGAAATTCAAGTTCTGCAGAGGCAGCCTGCCTCCCATGATGCCTCTAGAATTCGTTGGCTGCATAGGTGGATGTGACGAGACTCTCGTAGAGGTGCTGGACCTCAGATACCTCAGAGCAAGTGCAAGCAGCAGAGGACGGAGACATGAGGGAGGTCGAGCAGGAGGGGGTGTAAGAGAGCCTCCTCGACAGGCTTTGTGGCCGGTCGTACCAGAGCCACCCAGACCCCCTCACCCCAACCCCAGACCATCCCTTCCTCATGTCTCCTCCTGGAACCCTGAGCGTGACTCGGCTCCAGAAGTAAGAAGCAGGAGCAGCGTGGACTCCAACAACGATGCCATTGTGTGTAACTGTGGTCAGGACGCTCTCCTGCTCACTGTGCGCAAAGACGGTCCCAACCAAGGACGTCAGTTCTACAAGTGTAATGCTGGCAGCTGCAACTTCTTTCTGTGGGCGGATGAACCAAATCAGTCGGGGCACCCTCAAAATCAGGGGCCTTTGAGGCCCTCTGTAGGCTTCAGGAACACTGAAGGACGGCGAGAGCAGCGAGGCGGAGACCAAGGACACGCGGGGCAGATCATGTGTAACTGCAGTGAGACGGTGGTGACACTCACTGTCCAGAAGGAGGGTCCAAACAAGGGCAGGATGTTCCACACGTGTGGGAAACCCAGAGACCAGCAGTGTGGCTTCTTCCAGTGGGCTGATGAGAACATGCCGCCACCACCACCAGGCAAGACACACACGGCTGTCACAGACCACCACCACCAGGCAAGACGCACACGGCTGTCACAGAAAAAAAGTTCAAGTTTAAACTGTGTAATTCTTCATGGTGCCTTGACTTCTGCTCTTTCGTGTCAGGTCGTTATGGTGACAATGTCCGCCGCAGCGGGAACAGTGGGAGCAGAGAGAGGAAGACGACACGAGGGGCGCCTAACGGACCTCCTGCCGCTAAGAAAGTTCGTACCTGTGGCATCTGTCGCATGCCCGGTCACACACGAGCTACCTGTCCACAACGGTGACCACTGCAACTACGTCGAGACCCAAACTGTGAAGCTGCTCTGGAGGGGGTGGGGTCTTAAACACATTTTAATGGAACAAATAAAGGAGAATGTACAGTTTAAGGTGACAAAGATTATTTTAAATAAATGTTCAAATGTTTTTAACATCAGGTGTGATGGAGTGTTTGTGTCCGTCTGATCAGTTGGGTTGTTTCCACACAGGTCGTGTTTTTCTTGGTGTTAAATTTCCTGCACCGACTTAGACAGAAGTAAGTGCTGGTTGCTCTGCAGCCAAGCAACACAGATAAACAAAGATCACTGTCATATCCGACCCAACAACACAAACAACATATGAAGATGCAAATGCGTGCTAACTCAACAAAAATATGTACAAAACTGGAGTGAGGCAGGAGACACGGCAGCCCGGCCCAGTCTGCAGCACTGTTTCCTAAACACAATTAGAACAATGACAGACGTCATAAATGCTTTCAGTCAGACGTTGATCTTGTCCATGTGACTTACGTCGTTTTTTCAGTGACTCAATGCAAGAACTCAAACTACAAACGCAAACCTAAAGCCTGACTTCCTGTTAAGGTTAAAGTCAAACAAAACAAATGTTTTTCTTTGCGTTGTTTCTGCTGCTTCTTTAAGCTGTGTCTTAACCACATGTTCAGATATCTGAAAATTTGTCTTAGATTTCTGTAATAGTGGCAGCGTATGGACAGGAACAGGTGTTAAAATCATGATTACGTATTCAAACAAAACAGAATCGCTTTAAGTTTTTTCAACCCCTCCGCATAATCAGAACTGAGGACGCAGATGGATTCAAACACACCTGGTTGAGAGACAAAGACTTCAACCACTGATCCACAGCTGAGGTTTACGTCAAACGGTTGAGGACATATTTGGAACATTGCTCTGAAGGTCTTCTTCTCCGGTCTCTAATTATCACTGCTGCAGAAGAAGAAGAAGAAAAAAAAACAACTGGAGAGGATTATAAGTCATGAGTGTTTGTACCTGCAGTCACCTGAAAGTGCTTCACAGCTAGATAAAATATTGCTGAGCTGGCCTTGGATC